TAGATTTTTTATTATGAGTGATTTTAAATACGATTTTTTTTAATAAGAAATTTTTTTACTTATGAATGATTTTTCTACTCAATAAGTAATTTTCTACTTATAAGTGAATTTTCAACTAATTTTTCCTAATTCATAAAATAGTGAAAAATTAATACGGTCTAAACTCGCCTCATATATATATATACACACACACACACATATATATATCCACTTTTAAAAATAAAATTTTATTATACACGGGCTATGCCTTTGTTTGAGCTCCATTATTTGAAAGAAAAAATGCTTTTGGAAGTGTTTTTTGGAGAATGTGAAATTAAAATATAAGAAGATTTTTTGAGTTTAAGTGTAATATTATTTTACTGAGAGAATGTGTGGTTAATAATAAGAGAGAAAAATAAAATAAATTTAATGGGGTGCAACATGGACGTATAACTTTAAATTCATCTACTAATTTTTATTTTCATTAAATTATCCTAAATATTTTTTTATTCTATTAGAATTTGTGTTTATCTAATAGACTAGAGAAAATTACATAAATATGTTTAAAGTATTCCAATATTCAGAACTTCAATAGACAAAAAATTTAGTAAACAACGGAAGAGATGCCGTTAGAACAAATATATATAGACATGACAATATATGAAAAGGAATTTGAAAAATTAAGGATTACCTTTTTATCATGTTTTGTCTTTTGATTTTATTTTTTCCCTAACACATTAAGACATTTATGGGTTTTAGTGACGTTATTGTAACATCGTGCTTTAATTTGAGTGATCTGATTTTCTTTTCTTGGTTTTACGATTATCTTATTGGAATGATTGTACGAGTTTCTTTATTTACATTTATTTTGATTTTTTTTTTGGTCTTATTTTGATTGTTCAATAAAACTTTTAATAAACACCGTTGACATAATTAAGTGAATAATATATGTTAATTTAATGTTCAATCGGTTCAGCTTTATTCTTATTTTGTTCATTTGGTTTAAAAGAGTTTATGGTTTTAGGGATTGTGTGGATCTATAATGGTAGGAATGAATATATAAAATTTATGTGGATATATAATATTTAAATGAATTAATTTAATAAGGACAATATTGAAATATGACGTAAATGCAAATAATATTTTTTGTTGAAATTTTAATAGGGATGAACTTAAAGTGTGATAGATATACAAAAAATGTGAATGGAAATAATTGTACCTTTAAATAATATTAAATGAAGTAATTTATTTGATCAATATATCAAAAATACAATATTGCATGTTTGGAACTATTTACAAGGAAGTTGAACTTGTTATAAGTAATCTTTTAGGATTTACAACAAAAAATCACTTATAAACGTTTTCAATTGCGATATACCTCATACATATTAGAAATCACAGAAAACTCTCGTATTTGAAACATTTTGTGCGAAAAACCCTTACACTGTCAGGATCCGTCAAATTTTCCGTTAAAAATAGTAAAAATGTCAAAATTAAAAATAAATAATTACAATTTCAGTACCCAAACTTTTTATTTACGAATTAAATTCAAATCTTTTATCTGACCCCAATCCACCACCGATGCCAAATGGTGATGATGTTTGTTGATAATTTACAGCTGGCATTTCCTAGTTTACGTGTGAAAATACAATTTCCAAGACAATCTTCAAAAGTGAGCCAAAATTCAATCTCATGGCACGCCCAAATACTGAAAAGCGCGATTACAGTAGAAAAAGGCAAAAACTCAAAAAAAAAAAAAAGAATCTTGGCTAACCAACAACCCTAGGTACAAGAAAATGTGATAAAAATCAAATAGACCCTTGGGATTAGAATCGATAACAAACTACGAAATATCAAATTCTTAAAAACCCATAATACAAAAATTTGAAACCAGACTCAAGATTGCCCAAACAGAAAATATTATTGATATTTTAAGAATCTTTTACTTCTTATAGTTATGCCAAGAAAAAATAAAATTGTAAACTGAACCCACAAAAACCCCTATTCAAAATATTCAGGAAACTGCATCCGCCATATGGGTTGATAAATTGAGAAGTAAAGGACAATTAGAGGGGATATTTGAAACCCTATTGGAAAGGTGGGTTGGGGTTGGGGTTGGGGTCTTATATGTATGGGTTAATCCATTTATACATAATGGATTACCCCATTTCACATAATGTGTCGGGCCCGCGTGTATTTAAAAATTTCGACAATGTGGTCCACATCTGCATTGTGAGTAGTAGGTAAAAAATTCGGTAAAAAAAATCGATACATGTAACATGATCCTATATGTATTTGTACCGTGTATTACATGGAAAAGGAGAGAGTATCACTTTTTACCAAATTTATTTTCAAATCTTTTAAGTCATAAAATACATAAAAGTGGTGTGGGTGAGTGGAAATAAAGTTTTGAATATTTGGAATGGTAGGTAACACATATCAAAAATATGGATTTAATTTGTTAGAAAAAAAAAGTTTGGGTACCAAAATTGCAATTATTCCTTTTTAATTTTGACATTTTTTACTGTTTTTAATGAAAAATTCGACGGATCTTGACGGCAATAGGGTTTTGCGCACAAAATGTTTCAAACTGATGGATTTTTTGCGATTTTCAATAAGTTGAGGGTATATCACAGTTGAAAACGCTTTTAGAAATATTTTCACAATTCATTATAACTATAAAATCATACAAAATAATGAATCCCAAAATCTTCACTATTCTATGAGTAATACGCACGATCCAATAAACCTTTTGTAAACCCAAAATATATTTAAAGAATCCAAAAAAACAACCAAAATGGTACGATATTTGGAAAAGAACAAACGAGAAGAAAGTGTAGGGTCGGACCAACCTTGGTTTTCTAATGCTTAGAGAACCATCTATTCCACCTTTTTTAATTGCCAACTATTCTCTCTCTATACCAAATAAATAAATCAAATTCAATTAATTTAATACAAAGTAACCAACCTCATTTTCTTAGTGACTTCCTCTTTTTCAAGATCCCATAAATTTTTTACTCTATCAATTTAATAATTTACAATTAAAAAATTTTGGTTGTATTCTCGAAATGTGTTGGGTTAATGGTATGGTCAAACATATATTTCTTTATTAGTATCATTTTTTAACGTATTCTTTAATATTCTAAAGGCGCGATAATTGAGAAATCTTAAACAATCGTACGATCCCCGTTGGACAGTCATCACCGAGGACAAAAGCGACAACTAAAATACTAAACTCGTGTCGGGATCCACAACTTTTTTAAAATTTATTTTTTTAAACCTCAGATCCACAATTTTTATCAACTATTAACCAGACATTTATCGATTTTTATTAAAATTTAAATTTTACCAAAATCAAAAGGGCTAAGGGATAATAAATATACTTGGACCAATCGTCATTACCCACTTTTAATTTTATTATTGTTTTGTCAATTAAAGTAAATTTAATTGAAACGGAAAGTTCTTAATAGCGAAGCAAAAATTGATTGAAGGCAGTAGGCACCGTGCCAGCAAATGCGGCACCTTGTCACTATCTATAAGAAATAGTTTAATGGTTTTAAGTTGACTATGGACCTTCTTTTGCCCCATTTGGCCTCCTTATTTGAGATTATACTTTATGAAATAGTTTTTTTTTTAATATGTGTGGTTAAAAAAAAGAATTGAATTTACGTATAATATTATTTTATTGGAGAATATGTGATTGATGAGAAAAATAAATTATAATTTTATCAGGAAATGACATATTCTGGCCCTGAATTTCAAGTTGTCTGTTGGCCCCATTTCGTGGTCAAGATTTCTCAAATTAATGTTGAGCCAAGTTGCTGAAACCTTTGACATAGTCATTTATTATAATCAACCTTTTTTTTTTCAGGATTTTGAACACACAGATTTATCCTACTCCATAAATCCTTACTCTTGATTATCCCCGGCAACAAGGGTACCTTGTTTTCAGGGAAAAATAAATAAATTTTTTGATCTAATGATATCTTATGGCATCCGTGTGGAAAAAAAAAAATAGAATTAATACATTTTATTGTTGTCAATCTGTCGAATGAGTTTGATTTAGTCGCAGAAACCTACCTGTCAAGAAATTAAGAAAGATAAACTTGACGTCTTGAGCTCGTACCCAATTGATGCAGGTTAGAATCGGATTACAGGAGACATCATAAGGAAACATCATTTTAACATAACAGATTGAATGTTCTCCCTTAACAGTAAAACCAACTAGATCAACAAATCAAGAGGGTTATAAGATATCTTAGAACGCACGTCTAAGCGTCATCATGATTCGTCGCAAATGACTCCATCAACAAAGCCTTGAGCTCGTACGCAATTGATGCAGGTTAGAATCGGATTACACAAGACATCATAAGGAAACATCATTATAACATAACAAATTGAATGTTCTCCCTTAACAGTAAAACCAACTAAATCAACAATTCAAGAGGGTTATAAGATATCTTAGAACACACGTCTAAACGTCATCATGATTCGTCGCAAATGACTCCATCAACAAATCGAATTCCATCGAATGAACAGTTGCACAAATTTCTAGGTCGAAACCCTTTAGATTAATATTCTAAAGCAACTTATTTCGGCCCACTTGCCTATGTAATGGTAGAGAGGAAAGGAGGGGTTCCACATCTAACACGTTTGATAAATAATCCATCACAAAAGGTCCCATTCAATCCTATCAAGATTTGTGCCCACTTGCTTTCAAATTTACAACAGAGATTGAGTTATGTCAATTTATCCTGCCTCACGGTCTCACACTCTCACCCCTTTTTTTTTTAAAAAAAAGGTACCATTCGATGTGTGGACTAAATTTGAAGAGACATCAAATCAAAAGGGTTTGAATATAATCAATCAAATCATATTCCAAAATCAAATGAATACCATTCCTATCTTTTTCCAGTCAACAAAATTGCTGCTTTTGTTCTTTTCATTTACAAATGGAGGGGATGCCAGGGCAGGACTAGGGAAGTGAAGCCAAGAAACATACAAATCGACAGCCGGCGCCGTCAAAATGGCATGATATGAGTAGTCTTAGTATCGTAACAAGAAAGAAAACAAGATTTGGATTTGTATCGGAAAATCTTAAGCAAATCACTCGACATATGCCTAACTGCTAACGAACAATTGCTCTGCATAAGCACCAAAATCTTGGTCATTCCATTGCTCTTTGTCACACATTCTTGTGCCTTTTTATCCCCAAACAAGCAACACAAACTCCACAATATTGTCACTGCGTGCTCAGTTGCCACATTCGACACTTTCAAAACCTTCTTCACGATTTCCTCTACACAAATTTCATTCCTACAAATCTCCACTCTCCCTTCTTTACAAGTCGACACCATTTCAACGAGTTTAAGCACTTTTTCTGTCAGTGGAACGCTCAATTCTGATTCAGATAGAGCTTTTGCCAACACTCCTATGCCGCCATTGCGCACGATTTTAGCCCGGTTTCTCTTTGCCAATGCTAGAGAGATTAAACAAGACAGTGAAGAATCCATGGCATCTGGATTGCAATCCAAAGTGGATATTAATCTTAGTAATTCTGAGTATATTTCATCATCTTCTGATATCAAATTCTTCACTTCCAAATACAAATTGGATGTGATTTCGAGAAGTTTGGCAATTGCGATTCTTAACCCTGATCTCCCTTGTGAAAGTCCCATAATCATTGAAGATTTGAAATCTTTCCCAATATCAATTTTCGTAGTCGAAGGGGAATTTGATCGTCCTTCTACCGAATCAGTTTTTACTGGCTGTTGTAAGATTATATTACAAAACTGAACAAATTTCTCCAAAACCTCAAGATCTTTCACCAATTTTTTATTGCCAAGAGCTGCAATAAGCAATGGTAAAAGCCTAGCGCCGGCTGAGGCTAAGAACTTGCCATTGTCTTCCACTTCCTTTGCGAATAAAATCAGCCTCGAAATTCTGGATGGGATTGTATGGACTTGGAAACTAGAATCCTTATCAATCTTCTGAAGCTCATTTTCAAGTTGGTTGATGAGTTGACGAACCTGGTCTTCAGTGAGCGACACTGAGCTGGGTTGATGTGGTGGCTGTACGTTTAGAGGCCGAGTTTGGACCGAGTCAGACTCAGTCCAGATCTTGATAAGACGTTGTAGAGTATGGTTGGGGACAAGTTCCTTTGTCTGAAGCACCTGCATGGTGGCGGGGCAGGTGTTGTTACCACCATCCAACCATCGCTGGATGCTGGTTCGGTCATACGTCACACCCGTGCACAGACTGACAGGGGATTTCATCACATCAAGAGAAATCGGGCACCTAAAATAACTAGGCACTGATACGTACAAATCGTCCCTCACCATCTTCACAATCAAACTCAATGCGAGATTTCTAGAGAGAGAAAGGAAAGAACTAGTTTTAGAGAGGGAGAGTGATGAAGGTAAAAAGTAGAAAGGTTAGTGGTGCGAATGTGGGTGTTTATTATGAACAAGAAATGACGTAAGCAGGTTAGTTAATGGATTCCTCTTTACTCTTTAGAGAGAGTTTGGTCAATGGTCAATGTGTTTTGGTTCAATCGCCAACGCACTTAGATGTTGTGTGTCCTTTACTCCCCACCCAACCCCACCCCACGAACTACTTCTATTATTTTTGACCTTTTCTCCGGGCTTTTTGTAATAAAATAAGAGATTAAAGAATATAATTTTGGTAAAATAATCGAGTATTCTCGACAATTTGTTGCAAGTTGAATATTGAGAATTTGAGACTAATATTTTCTTCCAATATTACACTTTTGGAATATTATTATTTACGTCATTCGATGCTAATTTATGAATTTATAGCATCAAATTTAGAGATGGATAAAAATTAGGATAATTCTTGGTGTATATCACCTTGTCCATCAAGGTATCCATAATGGACATACGGCACCCTCTCCTTGGCTTGCTCATGTGTAATTGTACTATTTTCCTAAGGATTATTCTTGTTGTACATCACCTTGTACATCAAGGTGTCCACTATGAACACCCGGCACCCTCTCATTGGTGGGAGTGCCGACCCCACCAACCCTCCCTCCAATGGAAGAGCGCCAGGTGTCCATTATGTAGATCCTTATGTTAGTGGTGATGTACTACTAGCATTACCCTAAAAATTATCAGGATCGTTGGACAAATTTAAAATCAGATCAAAATCGGTCTGTTTCTACTCACATTCTAATCGAATATGAATATTAAAATTGAGAATCGGCTGGTTCCGTTCCGGTTCTTGATTCTAGTAAAATTAACAAAAAATTCAATTTCATTCGAAATTTTTACTTTTTATTTTTAACGATAGTTGTTGTAACGCACCGGTATTGTAGTTTTTTTTAAGGAATTTCACCATAAAACATGAAAAGTATATTCCATTTAATCCATAAAATTTTAAAAATATATATTTAGATAATAAGAAGCTTTGGTTCTTTTTTTATAAGCAACAATTTAAGAGTGAACAGTTTGCAATTAGAATTGGCATTTTAAGTTTATAATATATTGGATTATAACAAAATTTGAAAAATGAAAGTAATTTAAATAATTCTTATTGGTCAAACATTATGGGCCCACGTGTGGCACAGCAGCTATGATTTTCGGTGATTGTACACGGAGGTAGTATTGGATTCTGTTTGAATAAATTTCTACCAAACACACTCTAAAGAATATAATTTTGGTAAAATAATCGAGTATTCTCGACAATTTGTTGCAAGTTGAATATTGAGACTAATATTTTCTTCCAATATTACACTTTTGGAATATTATTATTTACATCATTCGATTCTAATTTATGAATTTATAGCATCAAATTTAGAGATGGATAAAAATTATAAGGATCGTTGGACAGATTTAAAATCGGATCGAAATCGGTTCGTTTCTACTCACATTCTAATCGATTATGAATATTAAAATTGAGAATCGGCTGGTTCCGTTCCGGTTCTTGATTCTAGTAAAATTAACAAAAAATTCAATTTCATTCGAAATTTTTACTTTTTATTTTTAACGATAGTTGTTGTAATGCACCGGTATTGTAGTTTTTTTTTTAATGAATTTCACCATAAAACATCAAAAGTATATTCCATTTAATCCATAAAATTTTAAAAATATATATTTAGATAATAAGAAGCTTTGGTTCATTTTTTATAAGCAACAATTTAAGAGTGAACATTTTGCAATTAGAATTGGAATTTTAAGTTTATAATATATTGGATTATAACAAAATTGGAAAAATGAAAGTAATTTAAATAATTCTTATTGGTCAAACATTATGGGCCCACGTGTGGCACAGCAGCTATGATTTTCGGTGATTGTACACGAGGTAGTATTGGATTCTGTTTGAAACAGATGCGTATATGATGGGGAAAAGAACGTGGACAAATGGGCCCATTTTACCAGTGGAGTAAAATGTGGGACCCAATATTCGGCCCATGACATCATGGAATTATGGGGACACTCATAGAGTAGACCTTTTTTCCCTCTCTCTTTTTTGGGTTAAATCACTCAAAGTTTAGACCACTGGGGAACTTATTCCACTTTGACAGCCATTAAGCATATCTTTGTCATTAACAAAAAAAAAAAAAATTTTTTTTTACACTCATTTTTAATCACATTCTTAAAAAAAATCACTATTTACTATTTAAAACTCATTTCCAAAAAAAAAAATTATTGTTAAAAATAAATATGAAAAGTAAAGAGTTTTGAAATAAAAAGAGTCAGATAGATACTAAAGCAAAACTTTTTTTTTTGACTCATTTTCAATCACATTCTCACACTGAAATATTTTACACGTAAATCAAAAAAAATTCTCTGTTTTTAAATTGCACATTCTCTAAAAAATATTATTCAAAACATCAGTTTCCCCAATTTCCGAACTGAATAATTATCAAAGATGGACGTGTTCTCTTAATTAACAAAAATAGTATCTCAATTTTTTTTTGTAAAAAACGTTGAAGCCATTGGCACGGTGTATAATTCATTCGTTGCTAACCCAAAGTCTCATATCTTCGACTCAGCCGTCGAGTCGCGCCTTTTCGAAGAATCTTGCATGCTGAGGTTATGAAAGATTTGATATAGATGTCACTTGTCCTAGAATAAGTAGTTTAATAATTCCTGCAGCATTACGATTTTGAAGGGCTTCTCTTTTCTATTTAGAATTGAATTATAATTTTCGTAGGTGTCTTAAGATCAAATCAAAATTTAAATTTATATCAACGTGTTATAAGGTTAGGGAAAGTTCGTTTTCAGATTGAATTCGGATTTATACCTTGTTGCTCCAATCTTCAAATCTCATTAATTTGCCCCGCTCCGAATTCGCTATCGTTCTTTTCTGGTATCTTTCGATTCCTTCAGTTTGAAAGTGAGATTTTGAAGTGGAAAGAGGGTAGGATTTTTACATTTCAAAATTTTTGAATCTTTTTTTTTTTTTGAATTATTATTGTTTTAATGGAACACGAAAGCTTTAATCCAATTTTCAACTAAAAATTAACTCGTCCCCTATACTCGCTTTTAAGTTTTAACCCTGAAACATAAAAATCAATGGACAAAAATTTAAGAGCCTGTTTGGGCCCGATTCAAATATGATTTTAATTCAAGTCAAAGTCAAACAATCAATATTAACCACATCTTTTATAGGTCCCACAAACACCCCTCTAAATATATTTTCGCTCCATTATTATTAATAGAATATCTTTATTGAATTATAAAAAGAAATGAAAAATAGTAAAAAAAAAAAAAAGTGTTGCATAATCATTATGAATGTTTGTGATTTGACTATAGTGGATAATGATGGACGCTCCTACGTGACGTGATGACCCTATCGCAATTATTCTAACTCATTGTAAATGAGTGTACACATCGCACTANCACTTTATTTGTTAATTGTGAAAATTTGATAAAAATATAAGTTAAAGTTAATGATTAATTTTAATAGTACATTTTATTATATTTAAAAAAACTTTATCAATTTTATTAAAATTTATAAAAAAAAAAAAAAAAGAAAAGGAAGCAATTTTTAACTATACCAAACACCATATTTGGTAGAAATTCAAATTTAAATTTAAGTCAAAATCAACAATTAATTTTAACTGCATATTTGATAAGATTCATAACTTTTTAAGCATATGTTTCATTAATTTTTATCAAATTCTGCTAAAAATTTGATTTCGATCCATACGAACAAGGGGCATAATGTGAATTATATTGGTTCGACCAAAAGTCCAATTTGGTGGCCACAATTAATGTATCAAAGTCAAAAATCCAAAATTTTCAAATCCATAGGTGCAGCCTATAGGCAAGAAATTGTGGTTCAATAGTCTACTATCATGTCGTGGAGCCTTTTTAGAGTCCCAAAACTTGAATATATCAATTAAATGCTAGTAACATAATTATACATTAAACATTTGAAAAAAAAAATGCACGAATGACTATTATACCCCGTTTGACACCCATTTTTGACAAAAAAGAAATTCTGGAATAGTGATTGATGGAAGAATGTACGGTTAAAAAGTAATGAAAATTTTTGGATTTATGTGTAATATTATTTTATTGATAGAATGTATGGATGAAATGAAGAAAGAGATGAAAAATGAGAATGAGAATGAGAAAAAATTGGTGTCAAACAGGGCCTATAAGAATCACTTGAATAATATGTGGAAGGAGCCTTTGTCATTGCCACGTCATAAATTATTAATTTATAAAATTCATTACTTAACATTCGATGCAAAAAAGTTTTAACATCCTTTTATCTCAATAATTCATTTTAAGACGCGCCATATGAATGGAACCCATGTTTGATTGTCGTTACTTAATCAAAACAATGTTTTGAATAGAGATTTTTAGGAAAATGCGATAAAAAAGGGGAAAAATGTTGTGTTTACTTGTAAAATATTTTATTGTGTAATTGAAAATAAGTACGTAAAAAAGAATTTTCAAATACTGATTATCAAATATCTTGGTAGCAATCATACTTTTTTCCATTGATGATAATGGTATATGTACAAGCAATAATCTAATTCATACTTAATGATGACAAATTGTCACGTTAATCGGATTAACGATATTCGTGGTGTTGTCACTATTGTCCTTTATATCATTGCAATAATATTGCAACGATAGTGACACACAAGTTACTTTTAAACTAAGCCCCCGTTTGGATCACCTTTTTATCTCATTAAAATGAAAAATATGACCGTTATCCATCACATCAACATTTAAATTCAAATTTTCTATATCTGGGCCACAATAACAATTATATTTTTCATACTCATTCTAAAAAATGTGGCTCAAACAGGGCCTAAGTTTATTGCAGCATTAGAGAAAGACTAAAGATCAAAATGTTCTTT